CCCTGGAGGTATTTAAAAGACGTGCAGATGAGGCGCTTAGGGACATGGTTTAGTGGGCATGGTGGTGTTGGGTTGACGGTTGGAGTCGATGATCTCAGAGGTCTTTTCCAACCTTAATGATTCTATGATTCTATGAATACATACAGAACTTTCTGCATACAAGAGGCAGAAAACACAGGTATTTAGGACACTGGAACCACTTGAGTTAGGAGCTTGACTAGTAGTTTTGATAATGTCAGTGATGCCTAGATGATGGACCTGAAGCTACTAAAGTCCTTTAAAGACCTGAATGTATGTAGTTGTTTGTGAAAGTCTCCAAATAGAACTCTCAAACAATTTGATATTTCAGATGAAAGTATAATGTCATTCTGTTCGAAGAACCTAGCATGTTAAAGGATGTAATATATTACATTCAGTCAAAGGGAGAAAGCTGGTAACTAGTAACAAGATGGCAGGAAACCTCAAGTCAGAGGCAAACTCAGAATGAAATATAGCCATAAGTGTCGTGGTTTAACCTCAGTCGGCAACTAAGCACCACGCAGCTGCTCGCTCACTCCCTTTTTAATACACAAAGCAAGTGATGCACAGTACAATTGCTCACCACCCGTCGACCGATGCCCAGCCAGTCCCCGAGCAGTGCCCCCCCCCGGCCAGCTTTCCCCAGTTTATGTACTGAGCATGACATCACATGGTATGGAATGTTTCTTTGGCCAGTTTGGCTGTGCCCCCTCCCAGCTTCTTGTGCACCTGCAGCCTTCTCAGTCGGTAGAGCATGGAAAACTAAAAAGTCCTTGGCTAGTGTAAGCATTACCTAGCAACAACTAAACCATCAGTGTGTTATCAACAGTTTTCTCCTCCTAAATCCAAAACACAGCACTGTACCAGCTACTAGGAAGGAAATTAACTCTATCCCTGCCTAAACCAGGACAATATGAAAGATCAGTGTGAATTCAAAAGGAGAAAAACAAAACATTGTCTTAGAGGATAATGAAGAAGATGAGCCTCCCCCACGTGCCCCCTTCTAATTGTACATGAAATAACTACTAGTATCAACACAACTAAACAATGGCAAAGAGATCCCAGAATAGAAAAGCAGATAATCAGGAAAGGTTTTAGAGACTGCCTGAGAAGAGCTTAGAAATTAACATTGGCTCACATATAAAAATACGTAATTTTATGGGGAAGAAATTACTTGATGCAGCATAATAATTGAAGTAATGGGGTTACAGCAAATGCAAAAGAATTTGGCCGGCACAAACAGGATATACTTTGCGACTCAGATTCATTTTACTATAAACCAGGTGTACATGCAAGGTCGGTGCTTTGTGTGGCAGTTCTCCAGTAAATTACAGAAAAAAAAAAAAGATGGGGGATTTAAAGGTATTTTCAGTTTCACATGCTACAACATAACACCTTCCTCTGAAATTGAGTTGTGAAATGATTATAAGAAGTCACAGAAAGTTATCAGGCTACGATTTATGATTTTTTTCCTCTATTAGGCATAACAAATATTTCAAAGTCCAGTTCTTCTTCGACTATATAAACCCTCAGACCTCCAGCACTAGACGCGGCTCAGGTCAGCGGCCTGCGGCAGGGACCGGGAGACGGCAAAGGACAAAGGCGCCGCCGGGACGGCCCGCAGAGCAGCACTAGACCCCGCCGCCCGGCTCCCCGAGCTCCCAAGGGCACCCAGGGCACTCACCCCCTTGCCCAGGCGCCTCTTGATCTCGTACTTCTGGGAGACGATCGCCTCCACCTCCGGCACGCTCATGGCGGGCAAGCCGAGGTGGCGGGGGGGGCGGCCCGCGGGGCGGCCAGCGC